TACTTAATACTTAACTGTACTGTTAATTCATGATTCCTTTCAGGGAGTCCCCAATGACTTTGAACAATCTACAGAGGCCTTTGCATCCAGTCTCCTCCTATAGGAAGTAATTACATACAGACAGGTGACCTTTGAAGGAACTCACACCAAAGAGTTATTTGAAGGCACCAAGATGAACTAGTGTGTGTGACACCAGCCAGCTTACCAGCATTCCAAAGAAGAAACGGGCTCTAGAAACAGGTCTGTCCCACTGACAACTCATCCAAGTACCTGCTGGAATAAGGAAAAATCTTCTACTTCCCATCAAGAAAATAAGGCACCAAGAAGAGATTTGCTATCTCTTGGGCACCTACTGTATGCCACACACCTTACACAGCCTCGGCCCTGTTGTGCTCACAATTTAGTTGAAAAGGGACAAAATAATAAAGAAATGAAATAAAAAGCAAATCACTGAAGAGTGTGATAAGTACCGTGAAGAAAATAAAAATGATGATGACAGGCAATTAATTGTGCCTTAACTTCCTCATCTGTTAAAAAAAAAAAGAGAATGGTAGAATTGTCCTCTAGGGGCCGTTCTGAGGGTTAGGTTCGATAATGCATGTGTTGTGCTCAGAATAATGCCTGACACAGTTGAATATTTAGTCAGTGTTGTGAGTGTTTAATATCTTTGTTATAGATCTTTGTTATAGAATAAGTGGGGGAGGCAGTCAGGAAAGACCTCCTGGAGGAAATGAGTTTTATGCTAAGATCTGAGAGACACACGGGACCAAGCATATGAAAAATAGAGGAAGAAAGAAACAAGAGACTAGAGAAGGAACAAGTTCTGGTCACTGTCTTCCAGGAACAGAAAGGGGGTAAACAGTCATGGGCGGGAGGATGGAGAGTAAGGAAGGAGTGAAATGAGCTGAGTATAAGGCAGCAAAGACTCTGACCAGGTAAAGCACTGGGATTTATTTTTCAAGCAGGGTAAGGGGTGGTGTCAGTTATGCTTCAAAATACCACTCTGGCAGCTACACAGTCTGCACTGTCAGGGTGAAAGCTATAGAGGAGAGCTGGCAGGTGGGGGCCCTGGTGGCAAGATGTTAGGAAAGAGAGGCGTCCTGGTTGAAGGCAAAGAGCAGTTGGGAAAGAATTACCACGCTCTCTTAAAACAGCAGAAATTTCTTCTCTCACATCCTGGAGGCTAGAAGTCTGAAATCGAGGGGGTTGGCATGGCCCTCTTCTCTGAAAGCTCTAAGGAAAAATCCTTCCTTGCAGATTCCTGCTTCTGGTGGTTGCCAGCAATTCCTTGGCATTCCTTGGCTAGTAGAGGCATCATTCCAATCTCTGCCTCCATCAGCACCTGGTGTTCTTGCTGTGTGTCTCTGTGTTTCTTCTTTTAAATTTTTTTTTATTTTGTTCATTATAATAAAAATAATTGTATTTTTAATTTTGCTATAGGGCCTGTGCACTCACCAGAGACAGAGACAGAGAGAGACAGGAAAAGAAGAAAAGTGAGAAAGCAAGCCACCAGGTCCAGAACTCAAACCACAGTTGCCCAAGTGGAATCCAACACCTTAAACACCACGCCACCTGCTGGCCCCCTCTGTCTCTTCTTACACACTTCATCATGACTGGACTGTAGGCCTGCCCTAATTCAATATGATCTCATCTTGACTTACATCTTATGTACATCTATTAAAAACCCTATTTCCGGGACCAGCAGTTAGAGTAATGGCTATGTCACTGGACTCCCATGTAGTCGACCACATTTCGAGTCCTGGACCCAGTCAGTGGTTCAAACTCACGCTGGGCACATGTGCATGCGTGCCCAAGGTCCTGAGAGGAGAATGGAGGAGAAGGGATTGCAGTGTGGCCATGCCCCCTAGGGAGTGATTTCTCACTTTCTGTCTCTCTGTCTCTCTTTCTGGCGAGTGCACACACCCCATAGCAAAAACCTCTCCAAAAAAAAGAAGAAAAAAAAAACTATTTTCAAAAGGGTCACATTCAAAGCACTAGGTTTAGGGTTTCAGCATATGTTTTGGGAGAACAGTTTAACCCACAGCAGAAGAGGGTCCTGACTGGCTCACCACTAAGGGCCTATGAGGCCTGTGAGAAGCCCTAGTAGCCCAACTTCCAGGATAAGAGCAGCCCCCAGCCACAGACAGAGGCATTCCACATCTTCCTGTAACCAGAGGTTGTGATGCATAAAGCTATTCCCAGTTGCTTATTCCAAAGTAGTCAGGTGGTGCAGAGGCAGGCAGCCCTGCTGAGTGAGGGAGACATGTGAAATGAGGAATGTTTCTTCATATTTGTCTGTTTCCACGAAACCACTTCCATCTATAGGTTGTGTCTTAAGTGTACTGTTAATTCATGATTCCTTTCAGGGAGTCCCCAATGACTTTGAACAATTTATGGACAGTAGATGGGTTTTCTTAGATTTTAGGAATGAGGAGACCTGAGGTTTATCCCAGGGGCTGCGTTTAGTTTGTGACCTTGAACAAATCTCATTATGCCCTGACCTTCAGCTGCTACTGTGTCTGTAAAATAAGGAGACTAGCTAACACAGTGATTCTCAACCTCGAGGAAGCATTAAAATCACCTGGAGAGCTTGTTATACTATGGATTGCTGGACCCTGCCCAGAGCATCTGATTCAGTGGGGCTAGAGTGTGCCCAAATATTTGCCTTTCTAGTTAGTTTTTAGAATTCATTGTCGATGCTGGTCTGGGGACCACACTGTGAGAATTACTGGCTTAGATCACACCTAAGAGTCCTACCAGAGATACTATTCTATGATTTTGTGAAACTCATTTCATTATACTATGACTAGATAAAGTGAATTGTCTAGTCTTAGTTACCAATATTTATAGTGGTTTCAATATAAAAATATGTCAGAGCCACTGTTCACTTCATTTTTCACTTTGGATTTCCCTCCCCAGGCTCAAAGATATTGATTAATGGCTCCTCTTTTTTTTTTTCTTCTCTCCATTCTATGCACATATAGGCCACACATATTTCTCTAGCTAGGAGGTCCCTTACACACAAGGCTCCTAAAGAAGTTGACTGAGTGTTGACGAGTAGCTCAATAGAACGACCTTCCCTAGATGGCTGTGGCTTTGGAATAAGTGACTGGGAATAACTATAGCATCTCAACGTCTGGTCTCAGGAAAGATACTGAACACATCTATGCATAGCTGGGGACTGCTATTACCCCAGAAATTGGGTGATTGGGGCTTCTCTGGAGGCAGAAAATAGGACTTAGTAAATGAAAATAAAATCCTGAAATAATGTCATAAATAAACCCATGAAAAGATGCTCAATTTTATTAGTCATTCAGAAAATACAAATCAAAAGCATCATATGGCCTAGCCTCTGGGATGCAGCCTACTGGACTACGAGCCACATGCTGACCAGTTGAAGTCTCCAGTCTGGTTAGCCTGAAAACATGCTGGGTATATGCATGTTCTAGATCCTGGGGGGCTGGAAGATGGGAGGAAGGAGATTGCACATGACTGAGCCCTTTGGAGGATTCTTCTCTCTTTCTCTGTCTCTCTCCCCATGCCCCTCTCTCTCTTATGCACATGCATACTCATGGATTAGAGAAAATAAAAGCACAATGAGTTACTTCCTCTCACCCATTAGAATAATTAAAAGAGATGATATTAAATGTTGACCAGGATGTAGAGAAATTGGAACATTGCCAACAGGAATGTAAACTGGCATAGCCACTTTGGAAAGCAATTTGGCATTTTTTCAAAATGTTAAACAAGATTATCACATGACCCAGCAATCCCACTCCTAGGTATCTGCTCAAAAGAAATGAAAGCATATGTCCACATAAAGATTTGTATGTGAATGTTCATAGTATCATTTATAACAACCCCAAAATGGAGACAATCCTCATCATGTTTATCCACTGGTGAATAGATAAGCAGAATTTGGTATATCCATTCATTGAGTATCAATAAAAAGGAACAAAGTATTGATATAGCCTATCATATATATAAACCTAAAAATTATTATGCTAAATGAAAGTAGTCAAACACAAATTCCACTTACATGAAATGTCCAGAAAGTGTATATTAATTTTTGCCCAAGGACTGGGCATGAAATGGAGACAGACTATAAATGGGTATTAAGTTTCTTTTTGGGGATATGAAAATGTTCTAAAATTAGATCATGGTGATGGATACCCAACTCTAAATGTACTAAAATTTATTTAATTCATGTTTAAAATGGGTGGATTTTAAGCTATACAAGTTAACCTTAATAATGCAGTTAACAAAAATATTTAAAAATAGAATGTATGGCCACGCTATAGGAGTACTCCCTGCTGAGATGCTGTGCTCTGCAGTCTGGGACCACATGGGAGGCCTGGGTTCAGTTCCTGTTCCAACCTGAAGGTTGGGTGTGGTGGCACGTGCCCAGAGTTTCAGTGACTCAGGAAGTGGAGGGAGGCAGATAACAAGCTTGAAGTTGACCTGGACAACATAGTAAGACTCTGTCTAAAAGAGGTGGGCATGATAGTATGCTTGTATCTGTAGTCCTAGCTGGGAGACTGAGGCAAGAGATGGATATATGGTGAGACTTATCTAAAAAAAAAAAAAGAAAAGGAAAGAAAAAAGAAAGAAGGAAGGAAAGAAAAAAGAAAGAAAGGAAGGAAGGAAGGAAGAGAAAGAAAAGGAAAGAAAAAAGAAAGAAGGAAGGAAAGAAAAAAGAAAGAAAGGAAGGAAGGAAGGAAGGAAGGAAGGAAGGAAGGAAGGAAGGAAGGAAGATAAGAAAGAAAGAAAGAAAGAAAGAAAGAAAGAAAGAAAGAAAGAAAGAAAGAAAGAAAGAAAGAAAGAAAGAAGAAAGAAAGCAATTTAATAAAAAAAATTAAGGGGATTTCCTCGGCCTCTCTATGAAGGTTCATTGCTGAAGGTGGTTATGACATAGTCATAGATTCCAAATACTATGCTTTGGAAAATATCAACCTAGTTACCTAGTTACCCTGGTTACTGACAAAATGGTGACACTTCAATACAACACAAAAGCTTACATTTCATACTCTTTTTGTGCTAGACACAGGGGTAAGTGCTTTATATCCCTTATCATTCAATTGCTCGTTCAACAATATTTGTTGAACTCATTCTACTGTACTAAGCACTGTTCTTAGTGCATAACATACAGTGTAAGACAAAGCTCCTCTTTTCATGGAGTTTACATCCAATAAGAGAGAAAAGCAATAAACACGTAGACATGCAAAGAATATTTTAAGATTACTATAGGTGGTGATACATGAGCTTTGTTAAAAATCTGGATAAGGGGAGGGAACCAGCAGTTAGCGTAATGGCTATGTTGCTGGACTCCCACGTAGTCGACCGCGGTTCGTGTCCCGGACCCAGTGGCTTAAAACTCACGCCGGGCGCGTGTGCGTGCATGCCCAAGATCCCGAGAGGAGAGTGGAGGAGAGGGGATTGTGGCGTGACCATCCCCCCTGGGGGGTGATTTCTCGCTTTCTGTCTCTATGTCTCTGTCTGTCTGGCGAGCGCACGCGCCCTACAGTGAAAATCTCTCCAAAAAAAAAAAAAAAATCTGGATAAGGGGAGAGAAATGGGAAAGAGGGTTGGTTGAGATCAAGAGGTTGAGGAAGGCCTCCCTAGGGAGGTGGTTTGACAACATGCCTGAAGGATGTGAAGGCGTCATCATGCAGAGAGCAGGAGAAGAATGACTTGAGTGGGAGGAGTAGCTAACTGGTAGCACATCAGACAACAAGCAGTGGAGAAATGTCAGATGCTACTGAAAGGATAAACAAGGACACAAACTGCAGATCTTTTGGGAGCCAGGCCATAGAGTTTGATTTAGAGTTTGCTTTTTATTCTCAGTGTGGTAAGAAGCCATTGGAGGATGTAAGCAGGTGTGTGACAGATGTGGTCTGATTTACATATTAAAGGTGAAGGGAGCTGCAGAGATAAGAATAGAGAAGAGAGACAAGAGGGAGCACAGTTAAGAGCTAAGAGTGCTGCAGGAGCTAAGAGAGACTATGGTTGGTTGCATTGGTGCAGTTGGTAACTGCAGAGATGAGGAGAAGCAGTAGGATTTGGGATATATGTAGGAGGATAGACCCAACAGGATTGAATGAGTTGTAGTGGGTAGAGGGGGGAAGATACCAAGAATGGTCATTGAGACGCAGTCTCTATGGTGCAGTCAGCATGACATGGAGCTGAAAGCTATAAGCAGACCACTGTTTAAGCCTCTCACTGAGTCAACCTGAAAAATGGGCAAGGTACATGCCATGTGACCAGGATCCTGGCGGCTGGCTGGAGAACTAGAGGAAGAGGATGATGGCCTGACCAAAGCTACCTCTTTCTTTCTTCTCTCTCTATCTCTCTCTCTCTCTCTCTCTCTCTCTCTCACACACATACACACATGCACTCCCTATCATGAAAAAAAAAAGAATCTAAATTATCCTTCCATTTTGGCTTGAGTATCTGGGTGGAAGCTATGCCATTATTTAAGAGAGTAAACTTTCCTTTTGAGATTGTCTTCATTCATATTACAGGTTAAAAAAATGGGACTGAGAAATGCTAAGCAACTTTGCTCAAAATTACTGACCTATGAACTGGAAAAAGCAGGTTCAAAACCAGTGACTCCAAAGATCACATTTTAAACACTTCTCAGAACTGCCTTCTGTGCAGGGAGTGCTTCTGTCCTTAGCCAGCCAACAGACAGAAATCAGAGTGGTGGCTTTAAGTGAAGAGAGGAGGCCTTGACAGGAAGGGCTGGTGGGTGGGCTTGTCATTGAATAAGAGGGAA